TTTCAAGTTGTTTTCAGTGCGGCATAAAAAGGTGGAATTCCTAATAATCCTAATAGCAACTCAAGGAGACATCTTAAGTACCTCATTTTATTTAAACCAAAGATTAAATCTCATGTATGTATAAATAAATAAAAGAAGGAAAATACCGTAGTTAGTTCTGACATGGTAGAAGAAAAGAAAATTTGTACTTAAGCTCAAAAACTGGGTGGAATTAAACCGGCACGGATCAAAAAGTGTATATTCTTCTTCTTTGGTGAAAAATGGGAAATTGCTGAACCAGCTTGTTAGTCCTCCCTGATGTGCTGGCTGCAAAATATTGGCCACAGATGTACTTTAAATATTTAACTCTGTTCTTCTATCACTCTACTTGGTGATGGTTCTCTTTCTTACCGTTCTCTTGTTCCTCTCCAGGTCCAATCAGCAGCATCCTCGTGAATAAATTCGGCAGCCGACCGATCATCATCCTTGGCGGTTGTCTGTCAGGGTCTGGTCTGGTTGCAGCTTCTTTTTGCAACACGGTGCAGCAGCTGTACTTCTTCATTGGAGTAATTGGAGGTTTGTTTTTCATCAGTTTTCTTGAGTAAATCCTCAAAATGAGGGAAATCTGGACATTTTCTTTTGATGGCTGAGTTTTGTTTTCTTGTTAATGTTGTTTCTGTGCCCTCGTTTCCAGGTTTGGGACTGGCCTTCAACTTGAATCCGGCGCTCACTATGATCGGTAAATACTTCTACAAGCGCCGGCCCATCGCCAACGGCCTCGCCATGGCGGGCAGCCCCGTGTTTCTGTCGACCTTGGCTCCCTTCAACTCCTGGCTGTACGATGAGTTTGGGTGGAGAGGCAGCTTCCTCATCCTCGGTGGACTCCTGCTCAATTGCTGCGTGGCCGGCTCGCTAATGCGTCCCATCGGCCCCAAACCTCAGCCGCCCAAAGTGGAGGCGGTGGAAGCAGGGCAGCCTCAGCCCAAGAGGACGGTGCTGCAGAAAATCAACTCCTTCATCGACTTGACGCTCTTCAAGCACCGCGGCTTCCTGCTCTACCTGCTGGGCAACTTCGTCATGTTCTTTGGTCTCTTTTCTCCGCTCGTCTTCCTCTCCAATTACGCAAAGAGTAAGGACATCAGCAAAGATAAGGCGGCCTTCCTTCTGTCAGTGCTGGCGTTCATCGACATGTTTGCTCGGCCCTCAATGGGCTTTCTGGCGAACACCAAATGGGTCCGGCCCAGGATCCAGTACTACTTTGCTGCATCCGTCCTGTACAACGGTGTGTGTCACGTGCTGGCGCCGATTTCAAAAGACTACTCGGGATTTGTGGTCTACGCCATCTTCTTTGGCTTTGGTTTTGGCTGGCTGAGTTCTGTGCTGTTTGAGACGCTGATGGACCTGGTGGGGGCTCAGAGGTTTTCTTCAGCTGTGGGTTTGGTCACCATCGTGGAGTGTGGGCCGGTGCTGTTGGGCCCACCACTGACAGGTAAGACATCCCAGGGAGAGGGAGGGTGGAGATTTGGGCTGGTTATAAAACTTGACGTCAAAGATTATCGGTGTAATAATTGTTAAAATGTTGACGCAGATCATAAAATCTGAATCTCCTTTCTTTTGCCCACCTCCAGGCACCTTCTATAACTACTACCAACACTATGACTTCACCTACATCACCTGCGGCATCGTCCTCATTATAGGAAGCATCTTCCTCTTTGTGGGAATGGGCATCAACTACCACATGTTAGACCGAGAAAAGAAAGCGGAGGAGCAAAAAGAGAGGGAGGAGCCCAAAGAGGAGCGTGCTGCCATGCTGCCGCCTTCTTCTCCGGCAAAATCGAGCGAGGATGGCGTACCAGCAGCTGTCACAATGGACGAAGTCTCCAGGATGGATGAGGACACAGTGTAAACGGACAAACTTGGGAAGAAATGAACACGCACGAGAGCTGCAGTTACAACCACACAGCATCTTTATAGAGAATAATCCCTTTTTACACCACCCTGAAGCCATAGAAACCGCTCCATGATTAAAACCAGAGGCCTGCTGCGGTGACGCTGATGTGAATCTGCGCTCGGCCTCATTCAGACCTCCGGTTTTTGGTCTTTGACGTGCCTTTTTGGTGAACTGAGAGCGTTCCAGGCGGTGCTGCTTGCATAAACACCAGATAGACGCACAGCAGACGGAGTGACTGTAACCATCCCGGAAAGTAACGAGGACTTTGTCTCAGGGTCTCAAGCTGTCACAAAGGTTCAGGGCCTCGTGCGCACACTTTTTAACTTTTTTTTTTTTTTAATAAGTCACCATACATGTTACAATACAGAAAGTTCTCCCTCGTGTTCTGCACAATCACTTCACTGCTCAAGGGCTGGATGTAAGCGCTCGCATCCACATTGTTAATCATAATATTAGTTAGAATTTTTTTTTAATTAATTAAAAAAATATGGGGTAAAAAGTAGTTCACTACAACACAGGGAAAAGTTAAGGTTCTTGTTTTTAACATTTTAGGAATGTAGAATAACAAATATCAGTTTTCCTGTTTGTGGAAAATCAGGAAGCTGTAATGTAGGAATCTTCTGAGCGGTATGAAACTAGGTCAGGATGCAGGTATGGAGGCAGAAATGTGGAATTTCAGAGCAGCTCTGATCTTTTATTGAACTGATGAAGATTATGAACATCATCGGAACAGGTCACACAGACGGGCTCCAACCCTGCTGATGCATCCACCACGTGAGCTGCAGGCTGGGTTGGGTAATAAACGGCACCACACGTTGGTGCGTGTGAGGGGGTGAAGCTGTGGGGAGTAGATGGATGGTTGGGTGGCTTCTGTGTGCTCTGAACATTGTTACAAAAATGTTTTTTTTAATGTAATTTTTGGGGCGCAGAACAGCACATTTGTGGTATTTGAATAGTGAAAACGGTTTAGTTCAGTTTCTACAAATCCCTACAAAAAAAGTAAAATATTTTAGCTTTCAGGAAACGACAATCTAACGAGGTCCTTTTTATAGAGTTTAATGTATTTGGATCAGTGGCGACGTGAGTGAGTGAGGTGTGTTTGTGTTCCAGCAGGTAGGTTTAAAGTTTGGGGGGATTTTGTCATTTCATTCATTGTAAGTTCAGTCAGTTTGTGAAGTGTACAGAATTACTCATATCAGGAGGACAGATTTAACCGGGTGAATTAACGGGGCTGAAAGCTGAGAACGTTTAAAGAACCCTGTTGGGAGAGGGACTAACACGGTTATCATCTTTGTTTTCATCACGTTGAGAGTAACAGAAATATTGCACATGACCAGCTTTAGAATCGGATAAAGTCCCTGCCCACATGAGACGTTTCCACGGTCGCCCGAGCATTTCCTTCCTCACAGAGGAAAGCTTCCGATTGGGCGACAGATTTTACGTTTCCCTTTCAGTAGGAATGGATACTTATTATGTTATTATGTATTTTGGTGACTAAATATGACCAAATGTTAGTATTCAAAGTGATTAATTACAAAGTGTGAATTTGTTTCTTCATGTGTATTTTTGTAAAGGTACTACTGGTACCAATGGGGAAACTGGTCTCTCTCCTCGCTGAAGTATCCACCTGTTCAACAGGTTCATATTTCAGGGGAAAGAGCATCTGCTGCATCGGTACGGCCACATTCGACTGCTCCAAACCCTGATTTTTTTCTCCGTTAAAAAATAAATAAAAACAAAAAACTGACCTTCATGAACTTGTTGGTAATCGATAAACTGTTATTCTAGGTTTTATTTTCTGAATTATGGTCATTTCAAATTGAAAGTTGTTCTACTTTCAGGATGAGCGTTTTGTGAAGTGACACACTGAAAGGAGGCGATACTGTTTCATTTAAACTGGGTTTTAAAACGGTATTATAATAGTCGTCTTTTTTAGTGTTTTTATAAAGCGGACAAAACTTTAGTTTCTGTAATATTTTTTCTTTTAGTTGCTGTGGATTTTTTTATGTGTGTTCTTATTATTTTGAGTGTTGAGAATAAACAGTTTTTAAAATGAAACCTGTTGTATTGATTCTGTAACTTAAAAATAAAGCTTTTTTTTTTTTTTCAAAATTAGCAGAAAAACTGTACATTTACAGTCATTACACATGTCTAACATTTTTATATACAACTTAAATTCTTGCACTCAAATCCTGAAAAGGAGGCATCTCTATATACCTGAAGCTACCACAGCAAGCAAATACTTACAGAAGCTTGACGAGAGAGAAACGTGAAACTCGACGACAAATTCACACTCGCTGGACATTTCATTAGGTACACCTTGCTAGTACAGTGTTAGACTTCCTTGATTCTTCATGGCACATCTGTTATCTGTTGGCTTGAGATCAAGCGGGACATACAAATCCAAGAAACCAGTTTCAGATGATTTGAGTTCTATGATGTGTTATCCTGCTGGATGCAACCATCAGACATAGAAGGGTCGGACAGCACCAATCTGCGTGTATGCTGCGGTGTTTAAACAACGCTCATTTGGTGCCACGTGGCAAAAGGCATGCCAGAATATATCCTCCACACCAGCAGCTCGGCCTGCTGGTGTAAGGTGGGATGGATTCGTGCTCGTTCACTCCAAATTCTGACCCCTACCATGTGAAGGTTTTTCTAATTTTCCATTATCCAATTTTGGAGAGCATGTGTAAATTAGAGTCTCAGTTTCCTGTTCTTAGCTGAGAGGAGGGGCACCCAGCGTGCTTTTCTGCTGCTGCAGCCCATCTGCTGTAAGGCTTAACATGTTGTGCATTTAAAGATGCTCTTTTGCCTCTTTTACTTTTACATACTTTGGTTATAGCCAGGAGTTATGAGTTATTGTATAGTTTGGCTTTTTTCCACCCAGAGAATCACTGCTCACTGGATATGTTCTCTTTCTTAACAGCTCTGTAAACTCCAGACGTGTGTGTGTGTGTGTGTGTGTGTGTGTGTGTGTGTGTGTGTGTGTGTGTGTGTGTG